TATACATACATATATTATTGTGCTTTTTTATTTTTAAATTACAAATAATATTTCTGCAAATAGATGGATGTTTTCATGCCACAATTCTCATTTTTACCAGATATGCCAAGATAAACCCAAATGATACACAAGGAATTAGAGACACAAAGTTATATAGAATCTAAAAATCGATTCAGAATTTTAAATATCTTTTCCTTAAGTTTTGTAATAAATTAAATCATTTTTGCTATCCAGTTCAGGATAATCTGTCTATAGTGCCAAAACTTTCGACCGTAGTGAAGATCAGAGTTAAGATTGGGTAAGACCATTCACACGTGTGCATTGTGGGAATGTGGACTAAAATCTGGTTGGCAATGCCAGCTCTATGTGCAAGGAGTATTAGTGCCATTGATTGTGAATGGCATCCCAATGCACCGTACAGTAGAGTGCAATGCACGATACACTGCAGAGCACCACAATGCGCATAACATGTGTGTTGGTGCCCTGTGTTGCTAAAAACAGGTCATGTGTGTTTTTACATCCATTGGGGTGCGTTGGCCGCCTATTCATAATGAACATGCATTAACGCACACCAAAAAAACTCTTTAGCTTGAATGGGCCATAAAGATTTTACTGATGTCACAAGTATGGGCTGAGTGACATGGATACAAAATATAGACATAAGCTGAGATTTTAAAGGAAACCTGTACTGAGAAAATGAATGGGGCTAGAAGACCTACTTCTGGAAATACTATTTATCTGGCTGTCTCTGGTAGCAGCACTTTTCTCAGTCACTAACTTGGAACAAGTATGCAGATTAGAAAGACAGGAAAGTTTTTAATTTGAATACTTGATCAAGTTCGGTGTCACGGAATCTGCATGCCAACCAGGCAACTGAGAATTTCTGAAGGGTATGACAGTCTGCATATACTATAAGTACAGGTTTACTATTAGTACCATAGTACATTTTTTGCACTGGAATTAGTTGACAGATGCACATGGTCATTTACGAAATGCTGAATCAGAAAACCAGAGTATGGCAATAGATTGAGCTATGCAATGGGGTTGATTTACTAAAGGCAAAAAGACGGTTCACTTTCAGGGAATTAGCACTTTGCAGGTGAAGTTTTCCTCATCTTGGTAGATGTGGTGAAATTTCAATTTGCAAAGAATACCCAATCATGTTCAAGGAAAATAAAAAAGCATTTTTGCTTGCACATGATTGGGTGATGGAAGTCAGTAGAGCTTCTCAATCACTAAACTAAGGGCATACTTCCCCTGCCAAGTGCAAATTCCCTTATGAAGTTAACAGCTCATTTGCCTTTAGTAAATCAACCCCGATATGTTTAAAGTTTGCACCTTCTTTTGAGACTGGAACTTCTGCTGCTGAGTGAAGTTTCACTATGCAATATTGCTACTCTTACAAATGAACAAATAGTAGGAGAGCTATCTAGATATCACTGTGTGACACATTTACACATAATGTTGTCAAAATCGAAACGGCAGAGACATATTTTTATAACAAAGGCCCGTGTCACTTTGCTGTTTTCAGGTAAATTATTAAACTGTTTTTTGGTAGAAAATAGAAAAATACTTCAAAATTCCCAATTAGTCATTGACTTGAAACGAGTTCTGCTTGGGGGCAGGGCATACATGAAACTTCATAGTTCTTTTTTCTAACATTTAAATTTATTCTTGCAACTCTTAAGGAAGACCACAAAGAACAATTTGTTTTAAAGCAGAACTTCAGGCAAATAAAATCTTAACCCTTGATGTGGGGGACCGGAGGATGCCAAGGGACATACCATCACTGGAGAGAAGGAGAAAGGCTGGAGGGAGTGGTGTAGAAGCCAGGCAGGGTGACAGTTTGGGTTAGCATAACTTTGTTATTTTAGCTCTCTAGATGGGCACTTAACCCTTGCAGTTTGGGTGTTCTGCTTTAAAGAAGGTGACTAGTGAATTATTACATAAAGTACAAACTATCATTACAAGGACTTGTCTATCATGCTTGAAAAGGATGTCAGAATTTACTAATGACTGCCTTTGCACAAGCTGAGCAAGTATGGTTTGTAAAGCTTGCTAAAGTGCATTCAGAATGAGACTGCAAAGGTGAATATTACCTATTTCTTACCCAAGTGTTTTTTTGAACTTCACTCTACGCAGAATTCTCGGCAAAGTAAAAAAAAAAAAAAATGTCGTCTGGCTTACCTGACCAAATATAATTCCATTTATTCAATCTTCTGATTTACATAACCTATCCATACTTCACTGGGGACATTTTTTTCTTTTGAGTCTTGGGTCACATACAGTATATGCACACTGGGTAGAGAATCAGCATGATCACATAGTTGATACATTGTCCCATGAGAAGCAGGTCAGACGTGATGCATATATAGCATCTGCTACAAGAAAAATCACGGGACATGGATCATGCTATAGAAAATAGCCAATGCTGATTAAGGCTGATTGTACACCAGTGTTTTACCTAAGATTCTTCTCTATTCATATTTAGAAAAAATAAAAGGGACAGAGAAGTTAAGCTACCCCTGCAGTGGGTCCCCACCACACTGCAAGGGTTAACTGCTTGTTTTGCATAGGAGAGTATTGGTATGGGATGATGTCAGAGACCTGCAAACACACATGCAGGTAAGGGAAGCGGTTTGGGGTACAGCAATGAGGAAGCCTGCGGTGGCAAGGAATAAGGTAAATATATCACCCGACTCATCCCCTAGGCAAACCCAACAGTTATCCTTTGCAATGCTGAGGGGGGGAGGGGTGCCACTGCGAGGGAATTGTTTTTCCTGGAGTTCAGCTATAAAGATAACAGAGCCTATATAAAAGAACATCTCCAGCTGAGATAGAAGAGAGAAAGGAGGCAAAAAGAACAGTGCATGTCTTCATCTATCCTTTCTATGCAGAGAGGCAGGCACCTTTATTCACTATTCACTATAAGTCACACTAAGCTTTATATCTCTACCCTTTTCTAACTGAAGGAATGCTTAAAGACATAAATAGATCCCCAGATCATAAAACATGAAGCAAATCTGTTACTTGTACTGTAGAGCAGATTGATGCAATGCAGGAATCACTTTTAATTTAAAATGTATGCTGCCACTGCTGAAAATCAGCTGTTTTTGGCACCTTTTCTGAAAACTTTGGAACTCTCTATTCTATATGGCTGCTGTCAGAGTGAATTTATACTACATTATAATGTCATGTAGCCAGTAAGCACAATATTTAAAACACAAAGACTTGCTGCATGGCATGTCTTCTTGCTGACAGATTACCTTAAAAAAATACACTCTTCCATATAATGGTCACTCACATAAGACGACAAAGTGCAGCAACACAAAAAACTCCATATATAGAAGAAGAAGAAGAAAAGAAAAAAAAAAAAACAATAGCCCCCAACTAGCACTGTTTATGCAAGCACCAAATAAATGAGACTTATAGCAATCCAACCACTCTTTAAATTATTTTATTACCAAATTCCATTCACCCTTTGAATATGTATATGTACATTTGTGCTATATAACTAAACAGATATCTGTAAAACCAGAAGTAAAATTATGAAGGAAACAAACATACCTTAGTCAAGAAAATTCATACTTGAGAAAACATTGCTTATTGCTTTACAAAAATAACTTATGCATATGGAGTGTCTCCTGCAAAAGGGCACTGTTGGTGAATTGCCTCACTCATTAAGAAACAGGCCAACTCCAAATAAACATGAAAGGAAACCCTTACACATGATGAACATGAAAAAACATAAATCCCCAAAAAACTAAATAATGTTGATCATAATCAGAACAAATGACCATTCTCAAATGAGGGAAATTTATTATAATAAATGCTGGTAAGACATTCCATTCATACACAGAATCCACCTTGGATATCCTGAAAAAGCACAGCCCTGAGTGTCTAGTAGTTTCAGATTTTGTGTAAGACTCTTTCAGTCTCATGTCAACATCCTAGGGATAATGCTTTCATAAGAGCTTGAAAGCACAGCCTAGGACTCACTGTTATTTTACTTTAGTACAAAATTGGGGTTTCAAAGCAATATCTGTGAGGATTTCTACACCGCAGAATGCATTATATCTTGCACAGATAGGGGCCTGATTAAACAATATTTTCACCCAAATTCCACACATAGGATTTAATTAGGGAAATGTGTGCATCTTGGGTGAAAACATTGATAAATATACCCCATACATATATGGCATTCTTTAATACTGCAAAGAGCACTGTGTTATGTGTTGTAACCCAAAGTAACCAGGCAGCAATTTTGGCTACTGCACTTTACACATTCTCACTGATCTTTGCACTACTTTACTAAATAGGCTTCCTGCAGATTTTGCGGTACTTTCTTAGTGAACAGATTGTCTCAGAGCAGCTAGAGTATGGAATCAGGGTCTTACAAAAGGATAAATATACCCTTGACACTTCATGCAACATAAGCCAAGGTATAATGGGTATTCCCCCATGAGGGTAATCTGGCATACTACTGTTTTGTATTGAGAACCACTTAAATTTAGAATTGGCAATTTATTCTGGGTCCATAGAAAGCTTAAATGTAACCCTTAGTTACATATAGCTAGACCTCTTCTGAAAGCATGTTGTTGTTCAGTGCCGCATCCACTATAGTGATGCTAGTGAAAAATTCTGAGTTGGCACCCATTGCATTAACCTTCCTTTTAAAATATTGCAAGAGTGCCTTCCACTAAAACTACTTATCTTTCATGTTCTTGGATCCAATATGAGAGAATGTCCATTCTTGTTTAACAGTGCAACTTTTGTAACAAATCAAGTCCCTTACTGGGTTTGTTGTACTTTGTCTAGTCATTTTCCTAATATTGACCCTTGTGGCATTTTTTTTGGAATGAACTCTTGAGAAATGTACGATATCCTGGGTCATCGACATATTCGTTCTTGAACTTCACATTGAGAACTCTCTGCCTTTTCCTCTCACCACGAATGACTTCTTCCCCATAAAAAGCATCTTCAAATTTCATATCTGATGCTCTGGACTGGAATAATAAAAAAAAAGAAATAAAAAAACTAGTATAAATAATTCTTAAAATAAATGTTCCTAAAGAGGTCATTCATTTCTCACTGGTTTTTAATATTATTTGACATAAGAAAAAATGATAAGCACACCTGCAGCAGAAAGCCCAGCTGTACACTAGGAAAGAGCAATAAAACAGATCCACATGTCACATAAATACTCTATCACCCTGTAAGTAATGTGTGAATATCTTTCTGTACGTACTGTTCTCTGATATTTCATAATGCCTGAATCTCACAGCGTTATACATAAATAGAGTTTTATCAAACAAATTTCTACTACACTTAAGAATTTTTATCATAGCTGTTTATTTGCAAGAGCCACGTGACCCCCATTTCCAAATGTCAAACAGAAACCTGTAATGACAGAAAAATGCAGTTTGACATTGCTGAGCTTCTACTGAAAATACTAGCTGCCTGGTTGTCTCTGGCAGTAATACTTTTTTGGGACACTGTTCCAGAACAAGTATGCACACCAGCAGTTAGAGTGAAGTTATTCTATTTTTCTTTTTTTAAGTCAGTGACCCTGAAAGTACGAAAGGCACTGGATTGCCATGATAAACAAGAAACTGGTATTAAAATCGGGAAAATCTTGTATAAGTTTGCATTACTAGGTTCTAGGTAGAACCCACAATGCCTCAGTAGATACTGTTGGTTCTAGCACACCCTACAAGCTCCATGACCTAGGACATGTGCATTATGCAAATTCTCTCACATCAGAGATCAGGAATATAGATAAAGATAGTTCATAGTGAAACCACAAAATGCTAAGCCTTTGAGATTCTGGGAGAGGACACCTGCTTCTTTGGGGACAGTAGATGTACAGAATGGTCGTGGCTCTTCAATGGCATGCTTAAGTTTTTGGGGGCCTCAGTTTTAAAGTATCCAACAATTGCCAAAGGCATATTAGGGTGCTACATACTCAGTCACCAGTCATGACAATACCAATATTATGCCTGCTGTTCTGGTCTACTATCATTCAGGGCAAGGAAAAAAAAACATTTCAAAATATTCTTACAACAGATTACAACATAGAGCATCAGATCATAGAAGAGGATTGGGCAAATTGTCCCTGGAACATATTTTTATGTCCTCACTTATCTTTATTATCAATTTGGAAATATCGGTTCTTGGGGGAAAAAAAGACCAGGGGAACATACATAGCGAGACTTAATCTTTTTAGGAAGCTCTTCATCCAATGTGTAAATATCTTCTCTTTTTGTAACAATCTGTGAACCATCTTCAAATTCAACCTACAAATAAAAAAAACAGTTAAATGTTAGGCTTAAAAAATTTAACTTGTAAAAACAAATTCTTGGGGACATGCTCATATTTAGGTGCATGAGCAGGGGTGTTTTGCTTACCACGTAAGAAATGGACAACAGAAAAACTAACACTATTGGGGTTCCAAAGATACATGAAGCCTCTAAATCCAGTCAGGCAGCATTAACTGTACAGAGTGTAGGCTCAATTCACAAAGCTTTGACATGGGGATAAAGCTCTCCAACTTAGCCATGCGACTGTAATTTTCAAAACTCATTGGGAAATAAAGCACCCTTAAAAAAATAAATAAAATATACACACACACACACACACATATATATATATATATATATAAGTGTATATATATATATATATATATATATATATATGTGTATATATATATATATATCCTGGTGTGTTAGCTTTGTGAATAGAACCTATTAATCTGTCCCAAAGGTGCACCATGAAGATATTCCCACTACACACCAGACCGGAATCTGCCCAAATGTTGGATGCTGAAGAAATTGGTGGATGGCACCACAGCAGTACAGAGGATAATATATCACTAGAATACTCAATCTTCTTTGACATTCGGAAATTGTACTAATAAAGGCGGTTCTACAACAAGAAGATTGAAGTGTGCTGGCAAAATATTTTCCTCTCTAATGGTGCACCAGTCCCTACAGTTTTTTTTTTTTTATTATTAGTAGGCTCTAGAAGTACTTCTGCATTGTTGCTAATATTGTAAATGTAGGAATTATGTTCATTACATTTGGTTATCACACAGGCTACTACATTGACATTTCCAATCGCTAAATCACACGCTGCTACAAATGATTACATTCTAAAACAAACATGTACCAACTCTTACTGTTTCATTTTAAATAAGAATGTTTTATAACTGCAACATTACATTTAATACATTAAAATACTGTCCTGTGCATGCAAAGCTTGGTCTTTAATTATCTGTTTAACTGGACATATGAGGTCCATATGTTGGCAGCAAACTTTGCAGGGTAATTATAAAGTTTATTTTAAAATGTAACACGCAAGAACTTTGATAGGTCTTTAACCACTTCAAGACCAGGTGTTTAGACCCCCTTCCTGGCCAGGCCATTTTTCAGTGTTCAGCGCTGCGATACTTTGACTGACGTTTATTCCGTCATGCAACGCTGTACTGAAATGAATTTTATACCATTTTTTGGGGACAGATAGGGCGTTATTTCGGGGGTATTTAATCACCACTGGGGTTTTTATTTTTTATTATAATTAGGAAAAATTACAGAAAATTTTGAAAAAAAAAAGTTTTTTTTACATTATGTTAGGAAACATTTATTATTAACCAGAGTCTGCTATAAAAGATAACCCATACTGTATTATGATTATTTAAATAACCACACTTTAATGTAGTTGCTGCTAAAACTTTTGCATACCTATCCATCAACTTTTTTTTTTATTCTTTATTTAATTTCACTCTTGTGTTTGCTTCTTATTCAACGGCTAGCAGAAATTAATTGAATAGCTTTCAGCTCTTTTCAGACTGTCTACATGTATATGGAAAAGACAACCTGAGTGACACTCTATGAGATACTGTTAACTAAACCATTGTCTAAGACATTGAGTTCCAAAATGTTCATCTTAAAATGTAGAAAAATGCTTTCCCTGTCTAAGTTCAAATTTAATCTAACGTAAACCTCTTTAGCAGAAAATGAGAACAGACATGCAGCCGAGTGTAGAAAATGCTGAAATACATCATAACTGCTTTCTGTGCAAAGAAAAGTTTTCTACTGTGTCATCCATGTAAGTTTAACTAAATGAGTCCCAAAGCACTGAATGCATCTTACCTGGCCCAATAACAAAACCCAATGACATTTCAGAAAAACAAACCTAAAAATATACAATTTTTGTACCCCTGTACAGCTAAGCCCCTAAAAATCAGGTATATGTAGAAAAATGTTAAAGCGGAACTAACCATCAAAAAATGTCAGCTGCACCAATGTTTGTTTTATGAAAACTCTGTTCTTTACCTTTTACTGGCTGCAGATTCGGTCAAGAAATGGCCCCTGACAAGCTATCTGGCTGCACCGCATGAATACAAAAGCTCCAGTCTGGGGGAGGGATTTATATAATGACAGTGACCAAGCTGTTCTTGTTCAATACTGCCCAATGCGTAGAGGTTGATTTTCTGAAGGCAAATAGGCTGTTCACTTTGCAAGAGAATTTCCCTTAGCTTAGTAAATATGGTGAACAATCACTTTGCATAGAACACCCAATCACGTACAAGGATAAGATTAAAAAAAAAAAAAAAAGTACTTTTGCTTGCACATGATTAGATGATGGAAGTCAGCAAAGCTAAAGCTAAGTCCCTTGCAAAGTAAACAGACTATTTTCCTTTAGTAAATCAACTGCATAGTGTGTAAATGTAATGTTGTGGATGGAAGATGGAGGTGTGCCAGTGACTTACAGAGGCTTCTGCACACAGTGGCCACAGACATTCCTCTACTGCCCTGCATGGACTGTCAAACGGAGAAACTGTAAGTGATTTAGATACAATGCCTTTGTATTTAAAGGTAATAAATATATTGCACAACATAACTTTATCTAAAATCATGTCACAACGTTATTGGGGTGGCTACAGATAACTGTTAAAAAGTTGGAGCTGTGTGTGGCTTCTCCTATAGCTCAGTATGTCAGAAATGAGTTGTTCTGACTGAGGACAAAACAACTCAGATGCCATGATGTACTAATAGCTTTCACTTTTTTGCACCTTGAAATTTAAGCAAACAGTCTGATACAATTGAAGGGGTAGGGAGAGACACGGGTTCTTTTCACTGCCTTTGACCGTGGAGTGAATGTTAGCTATTCTCCTATTACAAGAAAATGAGTAGCTAGCTGGTTATATTTTATGATTTCAACAGTTTGTTTGTTGTAAACATTCTCTTGCTTGTGCATTAGACTAGATTATTTATTTAAAAACAAAAAAACTGTTTCAGTATAATGGGTATTTCATGTTGCAAAAGGAGAAAGAGCTTTTATTTATTTGTGTAATTTTTTTGCCAGATCATTGTAGTTAGTCTTTCAATATGCAATTTACTCTCAAAGGGGCCCTTTTCACGGCTATCAAATTATTTAAATGAAGATTGGGCTAGTTTCTCAGATTCAATGGTAGCAATAAACATTAACCTATAAAATGACTTATTTGTCTATCATTTTAAATATACACATTTGACTTTAGAATGAGCAGCAGACAAATGTTAATATCAGCCGTAGGAAATTTACTCTAAATTGCAATTTATGATGGCACACACTAACCTTTAATAGATATCATTTTTTTTTTTATACCACAGCTATTTTACTAGAAGCAGTGCTGCAAATATCTAAAAGTTTCAGTGTGTGTGTGCTTTTTGTTTTGTGTGTGTATGTTGTTCAGTATGTTATATTGTACTGCAAGCTTTCTAGAATCCTCAGTTCACCACAAACAGAACTAAGTATTCTCAAAAGCTTGCACAACAAAACATATTCAGTTAGCTATTAAGGTAACAAAAAATGCTGCCTATATTTTCATTTTATTGCTATGAATTCCCAAAGCACACAGAAGCAGTTTAAAAAAGGCTGCTAAGTCCAATATACTAACATTTACAATGTGGTATGCTGGGACAATTTAAAGGCAATGTCCACTTGTATTAAAACATTATCCAAAATATTTAGGTTGTTATGTAATATATTTAAAAAGTTATCTTTCTATTTCAAGCTGCAGCCAGCTAAAGCAAACATTTTGCAGTATGTCCATTAGATGTACAACTATGTAAAACTATGCAATCTGAGGGCCTATCTACACAATTCATCTAATCTGTATCTATTTAGGGAAGCCCTTGCACTACATAGCTGTTGGCAAATTTAAAGGAGGGCACACAAGTTGTAACATATACGGTCATTTAGGATTGTCTGCTCATGTGATTGCGTTGCCGTTTTCCCCAGGTTTCTGCACCCAGGTCAGGTAAAATGTTAGACATCCCTGGTCTCTCTTTTCATTTAATGTAGTGAGCCCAAAACTTTCATAAGTGGCATTATGGGCATTATGCCTGGCCAAACTTTCAAACCATAATCACTAATAAGCCTGGGAAGTATGAACAGGATGTATGCAAACATATGCACATTTGTGTATATATCCGGTTGTATTTTCAACAATGATAGAATGCCACCTATAGAGGAATAAATGGGTAGAATGTCAATCAATGCACATGGATGACTAGACGCACTGTCAAAGTATCTGGCAACTAGGACACCATCTTAACCAAATGTTTGCAAGGCTGACTCTAAAAGCACGGTTAGATGAGCTGATTCATTACCTACAAACCTTTTTGGAGTAAATTAAAATATACAAGCAATATGCATAAATTACAAACAAAAATCATATAGCAGCACAGTTCCAAAATAGAGATCTAGGGTATTTCTAAGATGGCCTAAGCAGACCCAGGGCGTCATAAACATGTTAAAAACTTTCATTTTTATCTGTGTCTATATAGATATATACACACACTCACCCGGTACATATGCACTATGTTGTATCCAAGATATTTTGCTCCATAAAGTAAGCCATCGGGCCATTTCACTTGCACATGCTCTCCTTCTGCAGGTGGCCCTAATTTAAGGCAGTCTCTGCTCTGTAATATAAGAAAGGTGAACTCATTGTTAAAATAAAAAATACAGAATCACTATAGTACTGCACACAAGGGGCAGCCACATTTCTCATTTCCTACACAGGCTGTGCTTTTTTTTTCTTCCTAAAAATGGAGCACAACCTTGTGCTCAGATGCTCATCTTAGGTCATTACATTATAACCATATTGCCAGAGAACTATGAACAGACCTTAATTCAGAAACAACATAACCATCATTATCTTTCTTGCAAAAGTAATTCAGCAAGAAAGCTGATTGTATTGTCAGATATACAGTATAACCACAAGGGTGAGCACCTGCATAAGATTAACGGTGTGACCATAAATATTTCCCAGCAGTGCACCCCAAATCTACAAACAAAACTTTTAGCTAATGTTTATGATAATTCTAAAGGGGAATTCATGTTGATGAACCAAAGACTTTGCCATTGCTTATGTAGCAAAGGACCAAATACTAAAAATAAACATAGCAGAAAAATGTGCCATCTTTCTTTCAAAAGATTACAGTAAGTGCCTATAACCATTTTTTAAATGTTTTTAAAGAGATTTCAATCTTGTAATTAAATATAGTTTACATACATATTCTTAGGAGCATCAGATACACTCTCCCATTGTCTCTCTCCCAGAAGGGGGTCAGTTGCCAGACAACAGGCCCTGCACTGCCGGCAACACCTCCTATACTCTCCTTGGGTGGCGTCTTTGTTCCTATGCAGTGGCTTGGCGCCATCTGCCTAACCTCCTCTGTTCACATTGGCCGTCGGTGCTCCGTGGATTGCCTCTGTACTGACCCTTTGACTGGATAATGGATTACAACACTGATTGCTGCTTGCCCTGCCCCTTGCCTGGATACACTGTATTACGATGATTGCCACATGTCCTGAACCTTGCTTGAATAGCAGACTCTGTCCTAGCATGTTGCTTGCACCGCCCCCTGCTACCCGGGCATCCAGTCAGTCACTGGTCCTAGTCGCTCCTGCATACCCTTTAACCACTCCATATGATGAAGCCCTCTAACTTTGTAAGTGAACTCTCTGGGTGGTGCGCAAACTAATAATAATAATACATATGATGAGGGGATCCAGGGTTTATGGCTATGTGAACAAAAAAAAACTGGGCATGGAGAGGGCAAGTAAACCTTGGGTAGCTTTTTCTTCTATACAGGAGGGGACCCAAAAACGTAAGAGAAAAAAAAAGAAAACGTAAGAGAAAAAAAAGGGAGTTACACTTAGAGTGGAGATTCAGATGCAAACAAATGCTTTTTCTTGACTGGTTCACCAGTATAAGATAGGATTTTTAAAATTGTGATATTTGGCCTAGACCAGGGCTCAAAATGTAAAGTCCTGAGCTACTAGCCAGGCCTTAAGAGTTACTAGCCACCGACCTTAACTCCGCCCCTAAACACACCCTCTTAAATAATCTTATGATAATTCTTATCTTATGATAGTTGCCGCTTGTAAACGGCAGATTAGGGATTCCTGCTGCAGGAAAACGCAAGTTCCTGACACAGGAATCTCTAATCACACCTGAAATATACTGTAGGTGTGAATGGGGCCTAATATACACATACACTAAAGGTGTCCATACACCTGCCGATTATCGTACAATAATCGCGGGTGATCCCGCGATCGTACGATAATCGGCAGGTGTATGGGCAGCGTGCGACCACTTCTACTGTAAGGTCATACGACTTTGGTCTTCCAAGCATGCTGGAAAACCTGCCGAAAATCGTACGATTTTTGGCGGGTTGGTGGCGTGGTCGGAAGACGAAAGCCGCACGGGCCGATGTGCGCACACTGCCCGCTCAGCACCGCAATCATCGGAAGATCATCGAGGGGCTTGCGATGATCGCAAGTACGATCTGCCTGTCCAAGATGGGCAGATCGTACTAGATTTTAATGACCTTACAACCATCACATAACGACAGTCGTGCAATGGGTGTAAGGTGTATGGCCAGCTTAAAACACAATAATACACTTCTCAATGTTACAGAGGAGGATCGATCCCTGATTATCTGAGGGTGATTAGTGAGGTCTGCAGCAGACCTCACTAATCACCTCCAGATAACCAGGGATCGATCTTCCTCACAGACATCCTTTCTTTCGGCCGGAGCTCAGAACTGTCAGAGCTACAGCCAAAGGAAGCCAGAGCTGACAGGAGCTGCTCTGCGGTCTGCATCCGACACAGATGCAGACCGTGGAGCTGCTCCTGCAATTTAGGTACATGGTCTGCGACCGTGTGCCTGACATTTCAGCTGGCCACATAGTACCGGCTCACGGGCCGGAGTTGGCCTGCGGACCGGTACTTGGAGACCCAAATTTCCACTCGCCCTCAATTTATTTTTACTCGCCAAATGCGAGCAGGCGAGTGGAAATTTTGAGTCCTGGCCTAGACTATAAAGCCAAAAAAGTTAAACTACACCTTTAACTCGGGCACTATGACCATTTCAGACACTAGCACTGCACAATACATAGCTACGTAATGAGCAGTTGAAGGCATAAAAAATGAAATGCCACATCTACTCCCATGAGAGCAAATGTTGATATATTGGCTTCAGTTCTACCACTGATCCAAATCAGTCACTTAATGGATCATGCAGTGACTTCAGTATAGGCACATAAAAAAACAAAAATATTTATACAAACATAAAAACACAAATGTTCCACTGTCCTCGGAAATCACAAATATAAAACGCATACAGATTTTTGCATAGTAAAAGCAAACATGAATGATCAAAACAGAAATAGCTGTTTGTCTTTTTCTTTCAAAACTACTATTTAGTTTCCAAATAAAAGATCTACATGAATATATTCTGTCTAATTCACGTATGTTTTATTTTTAAACCCAGCATCAGGGTTATCAACAATACTTCATACCTTTATTTGTCTAGAAGGATGGGGGAATATCTGCAGACACTAAAAGCTCATGTATTGTTCTAAGTTTAATATACAGCAAAGTACCCTACTGATTTTAATAGTTAAAAGATCATCTAAAAGTTAGATACATGTTAATTGTGCTTTTATTACATTGAGAATTATTTACTCCAGCCAACATTCAGGAGCGGACTTCCTTACCAGAGATACCATACTTGTCAATACTGCATATTTTCATGGAACTGCTCTTTATCTTGACTCTCTATGGACATCTGGTGATATTTCATGGAATTACAATTACGTTTGGTTTTATATTAAAATATATTTAAGTCTATACACATGTTGCACATGTTACATAGTTTCATAGTAGATAAAGTTGGAAAAAAGATACAGGTCCATCCAGTCCAACCTATGTGAGCATGTGTGTTAGCTTGCTTTTTTGAGAGCATACATATTCTTGTATATCGTGTTCGTAGAAATTTTCAGAATTTATCAATACTTCCAGGTAATAGTACTAACTTGGAGAAGGGAGTTCCATATTTGTGTTGCTATGACCATAAAGAACCCTCTCTGCATTTTCCAAATAACCCTATTTTACTCCCACCTTAAACATTTTAAATCACGTGTCCTTGTCAGGGACCTATGATTAAACAAGTTGTTATTGGTTTTAGAATCATTGCTTGATTAGCAAATTAAATTAATAATTTGTAGACAGATTAAACACCTCCTTTTTAAGGTAAATAGGTTTAATTTACTTAACTGTAGCTGAGGTCCTCTAGACCCCTTTTTAAATTTGTTGCTCTTTGTCCAATTCTAGGACATTTTTTCCGTTGATTCGTGAGCAAAACTGGACTGCATAGTCAAGATGAGGCTGAACCAGTGTTTTGAAAAGGAGTAAGAGTATTGATGTATCCCTCTAATAAATACAATTTTTAATGCATGATAGTAATAGCAACAATGTCAGGCAACCAGAATACATGAGGACATCTATGGTACATGAGAACATCTGTGGTACACGAGGACCCTCAAACCTTTTTTCAGCTCTGACTCTCCCAGTGTAACCCCTCTTACGGTGTATCTTGCCTGCAAATGTTTAGCCACCAAAATCATAATTTTGCATTTTGTAACATCAAACCTCATCTGCCAAGTCTCAGCCCATTTTCCTATTTTATCCAGGTACTTCCTGTAATGTTACTACATCATGTGCCAAAGTTACGTCTATGCTTAATTTTGTATCATTAGCTAATACAGAAATAGAACTCTTCATTTCAACCTCTTTGTCATTTAACAAAATTAAACATCGGCCCCAAGACAGAACCCTGGGGCACACCACTTGAAACCTTAGCCACTCAGAGGTTAAATCATTTACCTCTACATTCCATACCTGCTCCTCAAGCCTTACCGAGATCTGATGGGTTCCCCCCTTCTCGGCCTCACCTTATTCTCCTCCACTCCTTACCACCTTTTTGCGCTCAGTATCTGTGGGCTTCTCTGCAGTACCTTTCTGGTCACTAGTGAGCCAATCCCTGCAGCAGGGACCATCAGCATGTGAATGGGGGCTAAGATGTCATTACAATACACAGTGTGTTGGCACATACTGCTGTTCACATAAGGTTCACGCAAAGATTCTACAGAATGTGCACAAAACATGCACAATGCAAAGGAGAAAAACTAAACATTTGTGTGATCTTGTTTTACTTACAGTGTGCTACAAAGGGAAATATTCATTTGAGAGACTATAGTTGTCATTTAAGCAATGATACGTTTTTGTTGCACATGGACACAAACACCCCATTATAGTGTGCACACCAGTGCAAAACAAGAGACCTTGATTTTGCCCATTATCTTTACAGAGAACAGTAGAGATTCCATGCAGGCTACTGCCATTTGTTGTAACCTGAAGTTTTAGGTCAGACATCTTATTTCTTGGTGGATTCAATATTGTAATGTAACCACAGCCATATGTTAGAAGATTGCTTTGACTAGTTGTACACATTGTTTGTACCAAAATGTTTAGCTGCAGGTAATGTACACTTATACACGTTAGAGAAACCTGTGCTGGGAGAGTTGTGGAGCTGACATTTTGGAAATACTTGTAACAATGCTGGTTGTCAGG